GGCATAGGTACTGTACATCTTCCCCCAGGAGACCACTTGCAATCTACCAAGTGAGAGGCTCGGTGACATGGGGCTGACCTCCGTTCTGTTTTTTGCTTTCCATAGTTTATCTCAAGATTAGATTCATTGGTATCTTCCTTTCTTAAGCTCTCAAAAATTTGTTGTCATTGTTAAGTTAGAGACTTAATCAGCCCCAGTACTTTTGGCCCCTTTCTCGGTGCCTCTAATTCTGTTAACAATTTGCCGAAAGGTCCAGCAATGGCAAGAATTTCATCCGAGAATTGCAACTACTCCACCCTGTCTTCCTGGTATGTAGGATATCTGGGCCTCCCTACCGTCACCTCGCACCTCCCCGGATGTCACGGGTCTTGTAGGACTAGATGCTTCACTACCCTAGATGAGGCACATCTCCCCTGAACCCCTTCCACACCAAAATCCTCGGTCACCTGCTATCCCAGGACACATTGTGTGGGACGGATTGTTTGGATTTCGGTCGTCCGGGAGAGTGATATGTGAGGTGTAACAATATTCGACCGAATCGTACTCCCATATCTGCAGGATTCGGTTCTCTGGCTGCTGGTCCGGGTGTTTGTGGCGAACGGATTGGCCGTGCCTGTAGGGGGGGATGGGAGGAAGGAAATCTCCGGGGGGAAGATGGACTAGATCGGTAGAAGTTTGTGATGTGTAACTCGTTACTCTTGCTATTTACCTATAAAGTCCAACGCCGTCACTCTCCACACTTGCTTCCAATACCGCGGTTCTACCGCCGACGGCTATTCTGTACTCGAGGGTGGGAGGGGGGGGGAATGAGGGGCAAAAGCGGAGAAACTATCTGATAATATATCAAGTCGAATTATTGGGAAATGGTGACAAGGCCCTGAAAATTTCCCTCTATTCATCTTACTTTACCTATTCCGTTAAGTTATCGAGCGGGATTAAAATTAATATAAGGGGAACATGTAACTTATCATACCATTAGGATGAAAGAGGTCGCCGACATTAGTAATCAAACCTACATCTTTTTTCCCTTCAAAAGATCAGTGGCTAGCACAGCTGACTGAGCTGGGTACACAGTACTGGAGTAGCATTCTTGGTCGAGTCCTCCATATCTTGGCCAATTCTCCACAATGAAACCTCTTACTGGAATCATTTAACGATCCTGATTTGGCGGTCAGGGATATAAGTACTCAGGTATGGACGTGGGTGACCGGACAACCAGGGATTCTAGAGGTCTGACCGTTCTTGCCCTCATAGGAAATAAAAGAGTGGGTCTTGCATAAGAATTTCTCGAACAAGCAGGAAGCTTTGACATCTCTAATCCCTGGCTGTCCGGTCACCCACGTCCATACCTGAGCAAGAGCCAGAAATTGGCCAGGCAGAGAGTCGGCAACCCTCCCTACCTTGAAATCCTTAGTCCGGTTTAGCCTTTACTGCATGTAGGGCACCGCCGCCAACCTTGGTGAAGATGCGACGCTCTCTCACCGCTTCACCGCTCTATCCCAGATGGCCAAAATCTGGGAATTGGGCCACGCATTTTCTAGGGGTCTGGGACTGAGCCTGGAGACGGGTGGTACTATTTGAAGGATTATTACCGGAACGCCTTACCCATGAGCTGTCTCGCGACGAATGCCCAAAGGTATTATTAGCAGTTCCGGAAGTATTCCCTGGGGGTAGCCATGCAGCCTCATGCCTCAGATTCCCCTTCCTCTTTATCACCCCCGGGACTGGTCACTATGGGCTTGCCCCAATATATTATTACTTCGCAATGTACCCGTACTGCGAGAATCCAGTATTGGGGGTAGTCAACGCTCCGGCCATCGTCGTTGTGACAGGGTTGCCTTTTAAATTTTCGAATACATCTACCCTGTGAGCTAATTGGAGATCGGTATGAGAAGGTCGAGTACCTACGGAAGTGGGAGGGGGGGGGGGGAGCGCCATAAAAACCCGGAAAGGCCGGTTCAAGAGGTCAAGTCTCACCGTGAATTGGATATGCTTGGTTTGTGATTTTTAATGGTTCGGCGTGATCTGGGTACCACTATGTCCTACTTTTTTCAATAAAATTACCTTATTCCCCGCCCAAAGTTAGTGGGAGGAAACGTCGGATATGTATATGCTTGTACCACTCTTTCCTCTCTTTTAGAGCCGCGATATGTATTTATGGGCCACGCTGGGTAGAACACCTTATTTTTCGAACCAAACTTCTCTCTCTTAATCCCTGCTCTAGACCTAGTTTTAATTATCCAGAGGTCTGGGGGTGTCCCGGGAGAGTTTCTGTACTCCTGGCCACATATTGTATCACTTCAATGTGCTCTAAACGGGTCTACGGGACTTTGGCGGGGAAACAGGCTTAGCCGTGGAGGACACACTCCAACTGAAATAACAGTCTTCAGCAGGCGCCTGGACGGATAAGGAAGAGGTAAGGTTGGATCAATGGGATCGGATGTGATAGGGGGGGCGGACCGTCTTTATCGTAAAGTCAAAGCTGATGGCGTATGTAGGCTACCAGCGCCAGAGAACGGGCAAGCTCATCAGACTTCGCAACCCCCCCGGGCGTTGGCAATTGCATTGGCGGGGGGAAGTAAAAAATGGCAGTACACGTCATACAGAGGCAGTAAAATGCTTAGAGCGTTGAGAGATAATGGTAACAGAGAGAAATGTGCCCCGAGACAACCAATTGTCGGGGGAATTGAAAAAACACCAGGGGTTCAGTAGAATCTCTTCCCACACTAGACCAAAAAGAGCCGATGGTTGGCTTGATCTCACTTGCTCCTTTCACAAAGGGTGAAGATTTATCACTGATTTATCATAACACCAGAGAGCTACCACCACGGGAAACTACTCGTGTTGAAAAGGTGTGGAGGAGAAGCAGATGTCGGAAGGAAGGTTTCACTAATGTGTGCCAAAGAGGAAGGAGGAGTTGAATGGGTCAATTTATGTGCATAGAGTGGAGGAATGGACATAAGAGCAACGGGAAATAACGTGTGAAGGGGCAAACAGGAAGGGAAGGAAAGAGGGAAACAAATAGGGGGAAGATATTTCAGGGCCAGCATGCACAGGTTCCCACATATACTTAGGTCCGTTCAATGTTACTGCGCCCAGTTGTCAATATATATGTCCGGCATTGTGTTAATACTTCAAAAGAGGTCGAGTGATATGACCAGGAAGGGGGCTGAGGTTTTCCAGGGAATCTTCCTGGTCGCTGGCGCTAGGAACCAGCACAAAAGCCGCCACGCACAATCGAGAAATTTCTTCGCTTAGGATGGGTAGGCGTACGGCGTTGTAGGGCTGTAGTAGAATGCGGGCGGTGATAGGTATTACATGTGAATGGAGGCAGGGGTGTTTAAGGTAGAATTTGAAATAAGAGGAAAAACGAGGGTTAGGGATCAGGAGGACAGGAAAGGAATAACTCAAACAATCGATATTCCTTTCGTAAACTATGTTTTCAAGTAATTGAACTATCGGCAATCTCGTCATTACCTACACTACTCCTGCTGGAGCGCATTGGCCATATTCAGACCTTCCTCTCTGCCCCATATTTCAGCAGAAGCTGCGTAACCGAAACGGCCCCCTTCCGTTGAGCTGCTTGCAGGGCATTGTCATCAGGGCCACCCTGAGCGTTCACCTCTGCCCCACGCTCAAGGAGAAGCTGCACAACCGATTCCTTCCCGCTGCATAC